ATGGTCACTTGAAAATGGGTAACTTTGTCTAATATTGGAGATTTTTTTTCTGCATTGCGCAGTATGGACCTCGTTGATAAGAAACCTTGTCGTCTGGAAGGCATCTACAAGGTCTACAGATGGCGCTTTCTCAGAAGCAAGTTCGCGCCACCAGATCGCTTATCTCTATGGTCGCATCATCCCTAGTACAGACGACAATAATCATTTGAATATTTAATACAACTGTCTGCGTGATAAGATAATGTAACACCTTAAAAGACAGTCGTGAATATATATCAATGAGAAAAACTATCATAAATAGTCATAAATGTTTTTAAAGTTTTGACATTTAATGCATCAACTTTCGGTTCCCAAACGTGTATGGATCTTTATGTTGATTTTTCGCCGGAGGTGGAAACCTAAGAGTTCATCCTTTACATCATGGGCTCCTCGGAATAGTTCTTATAATAAATATTTTGAAAATGACTTGAACGTCTTAAAATTTGCTGACAAAAAGATGTTTGGATAAGAAGTCATAGGTTTGGGTGAGTGGGACCTTTAATTTAGCCCAGTACTTTCGATATGGCTCTGAAGCTTTTACAAATACTCCGCAAAATCACCAGCCTGGCTTAATACATGTAACTTTTTTGTCTATGGTATTTAGGTAATCCCCCTTGATACTCGTTTCTGAATACAAAAGCCTCTGATATTAAATCGGCTACTGTTCTCCAAATTGAAGTTAGCAATTTACATTATCAAATGCCTGAACAAACAAGAAATGGTGAATTACGGATAACGTTTAAAGCACCTTAATATTTGTATCTGGAGAAGTACTAATTAAAACCCCTAGGTGCAGCTCAAGCACTGCGGATGGATGCATTGTGTTCATGGGTCGCCATTGTTCAACTCTGTTTGGTCAGTTTCCAAAAGAAATTGCTACATTCCATTTCCTTCTTTTTTGTTAACAAATATTCGAAATCTGGTCCCGTTTTTACATCTTTTTTTTAATTTCTAATTTGAAAATCTTTGGGTGTCTTTGAAATTGAAACCAAGAATATTTATATAACGTCAAAGTGAGCGATATAGAAAATTCTGACTTGTTACTTTAAATTGATAACGTCTTCATATAATCACAAACAAAACAAACTTTTGTATACTTAGAAAAACTTTCCTCTTTGCTAAGTATATATACCCATCAATTGTTCAAAATGTTATTGTCGCAAAGATTGGAAAGTAAGAGCGATATTTTAAAATGTTGGCCGTGAATGGCAGCGTATCTTTTGTGATTTGTAGTCGTGGTTACGACTAGTTTGATTCAGATGTGGTGATATGCGCGGTATTTTGTCAACTCGTTAGGTTTGGAAGGTGCTGTTTGGTTTACTTAAAGTTCTAAATTCAGATGCAGAGAATTGAGCATGTTTAGACGTTGTCAGTTTTTAGGCGTCAAGATATTCAGTACGGAAAAAAAGTGACCATACAATAAAATTCGATACAGCGCTTTTTATTTGAACAGCAACAAAAGATTCCATTTTCTTATTTCACAGTTTTGTACAAATGATGGAAACTTCTTGCGACATTTCCAATTTCTCGTGCTGCGGGCATTATTTGTTCTACCACTACACCGCAGTAGTTACGGAATTCGCCGCCGAAACTACTATTGGGTTTTGATAACGTCCCATTGCCAAATCAATAAATACCTAATCCTTACACAGAAGTCTGACTTCATAATATTGATGGGCTAAAATGTTTTCCAAACACGACAATATTTAAGGGCCATGTTTTTACAAAAAGACAAGTCAGAAACGAAAGCATTTACACGCACAGAAAATGCATACACGAACAACTTAAGCTCAAAGATACCCTTCGTCACATTCAAAAAAAAAATGAGGAAGAAAGAAGTAAATATTGAGGAAGATATATCTCGCGTTATGTTTCAAATGCAAAGAATCCCGGAAACTAAATGCTTACGGTTTCAGATTCGCATTATGTATGATGCTGAATTTCCGGTACAGAGAGCGTGCATCCCACAAAGAGTGCATCTTCATCAGCTTTTTCTACACCTACGTGCTCATTCAAAGACGACAATCAGCAGTAATCAACGAATGAAACATACAGATTAACATTTCATTTCAGGTTATTTTTATCATGGGATGAAATTAACTGTTCTATTTTCATTTTCCATTGTTGTTATAGTACTGTAATCTATTTTTACTTCCACATCCATCACGGCATCGCGAGAGGTTAGGGGGAGGAAGCTAGGAGACGTTATTATGACAATTCTCTTTATGGACTTACAGCTTTTAGAGAAGCATCATACATTTTGCTCAATTTAAATTTTTTTTTGGTAAAGTTAGTTGGACATGTATTTTCAGTTGGACATTTCTTGAAACTTTTGTGGGTAGCTGTTTTTAAAGTTTGGCTAGGTACTGCAATGCAGTATTTTTGTAACTTGGTTCTGATAAAATGCCAATATTGCAAGAATAGGGAAAAGGTATCGCTGATTAAACTTCATTATAGACAA